TGGAGACATCCTGAGTTCCGGCCACGCCCTTCGGGTTCCTGTCAGGCTCCTACTCACCAACCACAGATGTAGAGTCTTGAGAAGGAAATCGAAACCCAGTGCTCTGAAGCGGCAAGTGCCGCTCTAATTTGCTCAAGGATTTGAAGCAATGAAGGCACCCAATGTACTAATGGGGGGTGGGGGGGGATCCCTCGGGGAGTGGCATGGTCTTGGACTCCACTTTGCTTAGTTTATGAGCCATGGGAAATCTTGTGGGGCTCTTCAGAAGATTCTGCAAGGAGAGGACATGTGACAAATTGCCATTAAATGATCCATCTGGGTGGAGAGCCACCTCCTCAGACCGACCAGAGGCGAACGATGATCCAAGAGTGACCGTAGAGCTCACTGCTGAAACGTTCTCTTTGAGACTTCAGATGTTCAGTTCTGCTCTGCCTGTGGCTGCTCCTGGAGCAGAACCTGCGGTTGTTTCCAGATGAGATCACATGCTCCCAAGTGGGTTGGTGTTAGAGGATTCCAGATAGTCTGGAAGGACAGTCACAGGTGAGATGACAAGCCTTTGCCCTCCTGCTGAACTGGATCGCTTCCTTGAATTCCTGAAAGATCTATCTTCCCTCGACATGAAGAAATGTGAACAGGGTTTTTTTTTTTCTCTAAACTTATATTATTAAATAAACATCAGTAAAATTCTACTTGTTTAAAAAAAAAAGAGGTTATAAGTGGAGTTATAAGGTGCTTTTATTCTTCCAAACTCTTCTGCTTAAAACGAGGAAAAAAGAGTGCCACAGACTGACTGTACTTGTTCCCTCAAAGTTCGTATGTCGAAACCAAGCCCTAAAGCGATGGTGTTAGGAGGCAGGGTCTCAGGGAAGTGACAAGGTCATGAGGGTAGAGACTTTGTGAGTGGGATTAGAGCCCTTACAAAGGAGGGCTCCGGAGCCCCTAGTTCCTTCCACCACCTGGGAACACAGAAGAAGGTGAAGGAGGTGGCCATCTACGAACCAGGAAGCCAGGGTGCTCTCCAGACACCCAGTCCGCCAGCATCTTGACCTCGGACTTCCCAGCCTCCAGACCCATGAGAAAGAAGTCCATGTAGTTTACAAGCCCTGGAGATGGGAGATGGTCCGCGCGGCTCAAGAGGACGAAGGCAAAGAAAAGAATGTCTGCTGTAATGTGGCAAACACAATTCTGTAAAAGCTCCATCCAGGCACTCTGAAAAATGAGGTCACAGGAAAAATAAGAGTTCGAGCCAGAATACTCAAAATCTATGGAATCGGAAGATTAAAAAAAAAAAATCCATCCTAAAGAACCGTGGCACACTTAAGAAAAAACATGAGCTGCTTAAAACAATGAAATACAGCCACAGTGACAGGACTGGACTTTGAAAAAGAAAGAAACTACAAGTGAAGGCAGCACGCTGGAAGGGGGTGGGAGGAACGAGGAAGCAGCCAGGCTGCGGGGACAAGGGTGAGCGGGGAAAGGAATCAAGCCACAAGCACCCAGAAATAGAGCACACGAGCCCCCTCGGGTTCAGAAAGGCGCAAACACGGCATTTGGAAATCAATGAAGACAATTCTTTCTTTACTCTGTGGGATCCTCACGTTGTGAGAAGGTGGCAGTGCTGGTGGTGGGGCCTCGATTCGCTGAGGAAGACACCAAGCCTCAGACAAGGGGGCCTCCTGCCTAGAGCCGCTGGGCTGATCGTGGGTGGAACCAGGACGCGCAGCAAAGCCTGCCCCGTGCGCCCGGGGACCACAGCTGAGCCTGCGGGGCTGGGCCACCCCGCTCACATCCTGAACCGCAGCAGCTGAACATTTTCTAATTCTGACACCTTGACGTTTCTTGCACATCAAATCCCATTAGCGGGACACACCTACAAAATACTCCGAAGCCAGACGAGAAGATATTTTTAACCCGCACTTCAAACGGCATGCGTGGGAAGGTGTGTTTTAGAACACCTGTTGGCAGTGAAATCAGGCTTCATGGGGACTAATTCGGGAAGTTAGAACCACAACAGGAGCCCCGACCTAGTCATTATGTCCCCGTGGGGGCCGTGCTGAAGGCCCTCACACAGCTTGCAGGCAACACTCCGCTCTCTGCTCTCTGCGGTTAACCCCACCTCACCCGCGGGGGTGGGGGGCACCCAAGGCCTGGGGGGCAGTGGCTGGCCTGTCAAAGCAGCTACCTCCCATTGTAAGAGCATGTGCAGAGATTTTGTTCTCAGGGCATTTGGGGAAATGGTAGGGCACTGGAGAGAAATAATAAATCCGCATAAGGACAAACAGCCCTAAAGAGGTTTTCAATGACTCTCGGACTTCCTCTTGCCTGAAGTCAGGAGGGTGGGTCTGTCCACACTTGAGCTCAGGGTGCCTGCCTTCTCCCTGGGCTGTGCCTCCTTGGGGTGAAGGATGAAGTAGCCGGGAAAGATGACAATGACCAAAGGACAGCCCAGTCAGCTGCTCCCTGCTGGATGACGGTCCAGCAAGGGGACCCCCTGTGGGGCGCAGTAAAGGCAAGGCAGGTCTTCACCTGAACCCCTCTGGGCACGTCCTGTGTGCCGAGCAACGTTCTGGGCTGGGAGGAGGGGAGAGGAGAGACCACGCCCCTTCTAACCTGGGGATTCTGCTCAAGGAGGGGCAGGCAAATAATACCCAAGGAAACAAGTCACCCGCATTCAGGGAGGGACAGCACCCCATAAGAATTAAGAGGGGACAGTCACACAAGCCTGGCTGGAAGTTTCCAAGAGAACCAAGAAGCTACAAACAGAAAAGTGAAATGATCCAGCAAATGTTTTAAAATTATAAATCACCTAATTTCACTGCTCGACAAATCCTATGAGTTCTTAGGACTCCTTCTTCTCTGGTGAGGCAGTGAAGCCTTGGAGCCATAAGATAATAGTTCCAAGGCCCCAAAATCCAGAAGTGTCAAGGCCAAGGTCTGAACTCCATGTGCCTAGGACCCCCGCACTATGACACCCCCACCCTATGCTCCATCCGCCCACTCCAGGAGTCGAATTCCCAACTGGAACAGCATGACCCCGCCCCACCCCTACCAACAAATTCAGGACTAACAGGGCCTTCCAATTTTTGACTGAAAGCACGGGTAACTGTGAACACTGCCTCTTTAACAAAGGTAACTGCACTTACAGAGAGAGCGTTCAAGGCGTTAGCTGACAGCTCCTCTCACTGCTGCACGAAAACAGGCCCACAGCCATTGGGATGCAGCCCCGCGAGCCTTCACTTAGCTTCCACCGAAGCCCGGACCCTGTTCACCGAGCCGCAGGTGCTCGTGTCCCTACGGGTCATTCTTGTGAAACCCGGAGACTTCATCCTCTTGAGAAACACAACATCCAGTTGTACACAGCCCAAGGTTTCTTATCAGCTGTCATTAAAAAACAGCCCTACTTACACAAACCAAACTTGGGACTTCACTAATGTTGGTTCTAGAAACATGCTGCCGGAATCCTGGCCTGCAAAGTGCTGCTGGTTGAGCAGCTTCAAGCTCTGTGGATGGGGCTGAGTGTGGAGGGAGGACAGAAGAGCGGGCGCGGCGAGCGGGGGCTCGGATCAGACACCCCTGAGCCCACGAGCTCCTGGCCAGGGGCCTCGTCCGCCCTTGCCGGTCCCCAGCGGCGCAGCAGCCCCTGCAGCATGCTTCCGGGGACCGTCAAGAGCATGAGGTGTTGGCGTGGCGCTCAGGCGGCCCAGGTCTCAGGGATGAAGGACCACGTCCCTCCCCGGAAGCTGGAGGAGACGGCGCATGCGCAGACGGAGTCTGGAACGCACGGAATGAGAGAGCAGCGGGGAGAGGTGTTGAAATACCGAGACGCACACAGGACAGAGGGTGACCAAAGGCTGAACTGGGAAGGGAGGGAACGGCAGGAGGCGGAGCAGGAGGCAAAAGGCCCCCTGCACGGGCCGGTGCTATAGCGCCCCTCCCCAACAGAGACGCCAACTCGCTAACCCTGGGACCCGGAAACACTTGGGCTCTCTGGTAAAAGGAAACGAAGCTTGCAGATGTAATTAAGGTTGCTTGAGATGGGAGGTGATCCTGGAGCATCCACGAGGGCCCAGTGTCATCGCGAGCTCCTTAAAAGTGGAAAAGGGAAGCAGAAGAAGGGCCCAGAGGCTTAGGAAGAACGCAGGCACCTCTAGAAGCTGGAAATGACAAAGACACAGACCCTCCCCTCCAGCTCCAGAAGGAGCACGGCCCTGCCCACACTGTGATTTAGTCCAAGGGGGCTTCTGTCCTCCAGAACCGGAAGAGAGTAAGAGTGTGTGTGGCCCACGTGGCTGCATTTATGATGTGACGTGACAGCAGCACGAGGAGTCGATCCTCACGGATCCTGCAGGACTTACGCAGCCTGGCAGGATGGGAGGGCAAGGGGTGGCTGGCAGGGGGACTTGCCAGAGGAAAGGCAAGAAGCCAAGAACTGCCCTGTGTATCAGCTGTACAGGGAGGAGCTTGCCTGCCTGGAGCAGGAAGGCCAAGTGAAGGCCAAGTTCGCATGACCCTTGAGCCTCAGAGAAGGAGGCCGAGACATGAGGTGCTGGGCCCAAGAGAGCCACTAAAGGTCTGACCTGGGGAGAGCCAGAGAACAGCCTGGAAGGGGTGTGGGTGCTGGTGAGAAGCACTGGTAGAGGGGAAGAGGACAAAAGCCACTGGCTGCTGATGTGGCTGGAGGTCAGCGCCCTCCTCCTGCCCAATCCAGACAGATGACATGAAGGGGCAGAGCCCAACAGGTGGAGGCAGGCTGACCTGGCTCCAGGTACCAGCAGCCTTTGCACTAAAGGCTTTTTGCAGAAGACACATACCTGAAGTCTTCTGTCAGGCTCTCTCTCTAGGACAAGTATCTGAGGCATCGCCCTTCCTGGTGGGACCTGTGGGGCTAATGCATTTGCAACACTACGCAGGGTATGTAGCCCAAGCTCAACAAATCACAGGCTGCATCTCCGACCAGAACAACAACCAAAGCCACCAGAACCCTCCTGTGCCACTGGTACCTGGATGTTGAGTCTCCCTCGGTGTGCCCCGAGGCCGTAGCGCTTGGAGGTAGAGGCGTGAAGCTGGAAGTCTGTGATTTTTAAGGTTTCCAGACCGAGAGGTGGGCAACCTAGAAAGGACAGTGCTTGTTAAAAACAAAGACAGATGTTCAAAGGCGAGTTTCTGGTTTTCTAAATCTGGCCTCCCCTTTTCCCATTCGCCCCTGAACCGCCCCCTGCCCCGGGGTATGTCCGGCATGTCCAGACAGATGCGCTCAACTCCACCATCAACAGTGTGCCAACCGCCTTTCTTGTTGGCATTTCCTCTCTGGCTGTCTGTGCTCTGATACTCCTTCTCTCTGTTGCTGTCCCTGCTACTGTTTGAGGCTGTTTCCAATTAACGACTCAGCCAGGGAGCGCTATTGGTCAGAAATTTCGGAGCAATCCCGTGGTTGAGTTCTGCAGATTAATCAGAACGTGTTGATTTTGCTTCAGCAACTCTGGCCTTTGTATTGTGTGTGCTAATAAGCAAGGCCATATAAATAGGAAAAAAAAATCTATTGTTTTCCATTCTTGGCAAAACTGGCAGTTTTGAGAACAGCTACAAGCTACAGTGTGGTCCAAGCCGCTCCTGGAATAAGACACTGGCACGTGGGCAGACCCCTGGCCAGACTCGCCATCCAGACCAGCGTCCCTGCAGGTGAGAGCTTTAACAACAGCTCGGGGCTGGATCCCATGGCCTCGGGACCCCAGAGCTGTTGATCTCACTGCCCAGCCCACCTTGGGGCTGGAAGTCTCCGAGTGACACTATCTGTCTCCTCCGATCTGACCCTGGTTAAAGAAAATACCAACTCTGGGGGAGAAGCAAAATCTATTTCTACTAGAAGTGTGAGAAATCCCTCCTGTGAGAGGCACGTTTGAAAATCTGTGCGGCTCACTGCTGAGATGGGTGTGTCCCCAGGGACCTGAGCCGGTGCGGGTATCTGTCCATCCATGACAAACCCAGGCAGGGAACAAAAGCCCTCTGGCCTCCAGATGCTGGGGGAGATTGGCAAGACAGGAGCTGCGACCGGTGCTCTGCAGACCACTGGGGACAAAAGTCGGCCTGGGAGGGCCGCCGTCAGAGGGACTCAGGCCCAGCAGGCCCCGAGACACTTTCTAGTCCTCCCCTTGAGTCCTCAAGGAGGAAGGCAAGGCCCGGAGACTCAAGGTAAGCCTTCCCAGGCATCCCTTCCAGCAGCAGAGCTGGACCTTGGATGCTGGCCTCCAGATTCTTGGCTCCAGGCTGCTTCCTGATCCTGCCACGTCTGCCATGTGGCTGCCTGGGCTGGTTCACATGCACCAGCCATCTCTGCTAGGAGGAGGGGGCAGAGGTACCAGGGCCCAGAGTGGTGAGCAGCACCAAGAGGGGAGTAACGGTGCCCCTGCTGCCCACTGACACAGCAGGAGACCCCAGGAGGCTTCAGATGGCACTGTGAGCAATGGTGCGCCAGCTGGATTCTGCCAGAGGGGGCCGCACCTCAAGTGGGGGGCCAGAGGAGCAGGAACCATGCAGTGAATGGGGGACGAGGGTGTGGATCCGGTGGGGACCACAGAATGAATGGGGAGGGCATGCAGCCAGGGTGGGATATGGCCCGGGGGATCTAGGCAGCAAGCATGCCTAAGCACCCAAGACTGACCTCACAGAGGGTATTCTAGTTATCATAACCTCCTTCCCTCACTAGGATCTGCCCTGGGCACTTTCCCAGCCTCTGATGCACATGGGTGGCATTTCCTTGGTCCCAATATTAAGAGAGTAATTCTCCATCATGCCTACTGGAAACTGACCAAGTGTCAGAGCACTGAGCAAAGATATTTCTTACACGCTTACTCAGAAATCCACGTGGCCTGCCTCCACCAGTTGTGCTTGGTCATGGAACCTATTCATGCTGACCCAGCAGTAGCCACACCTGCCCCTCTGCAGCTCGGTTCCTGGGCTCAGGCTGTGAGATCCAGAGCCTGAGCCCCCACGCACCTTCTTTCCATGCTTCTCGCCTCTCTGGGCCATATCCCTCCAGCCTCTCAGACCTCAGTGGTCATTGGTAGGCACCTGAGGCCCTGGTCGAGATTCAGGGCAAGGACTGAGGGTCAGGATCACTATCTAACCTCTCTCGGAGGTTAGATTCCAGAATGTTCTTCAACCTGCCTCTCAGCCATGGCTGACCCCGGGCTCGGGGCTTCCTCAGCTAGAGATGCTGCCCACTGTCCCCAGTTCTTACCACTCTCCTACTGTTCTCCTCTCCTCCTCGTCACCTAGTCCCAGCCCACCCTGCTTCAGACACATCAGCATCCGCAAGGAAACGCACATCACCTGGGCCCTGACACCTCACTGGCTGGTCAGTGCTTCTGCTGGACGATTCCCTGTGTCCTGGGAGTGGCCTCTGCATCTCGATTCTGCCAGATATGCCAGCTTTGGTTTCAGACCCAGACAGAGAACAGGGAATTGGTCTGTCCCTCCCATGTCCTGGGGCTCCGTTCAGAAGCCCGGTCTTCTCACATGAGCATCAGGAATTCAGAAAGAATTCACTGCCATTTCAGTGAGACTGTCTCACAGCTCTGTCAAATGTGTTCACATCCCCTGGTCCCTCCCTCTTAGCAGAAAACACAGCAGGTGCTGAATTTCAGGTACTCCATTGAGCGAACCCTCCTATTACTCATTTAGGTGGTCAGGTGGCCAACACAAATTAAATATTATTTATTAGTTAAATAACGAAGAATAATTGTTACCCAAAGCATTTCTTCCAGGAAAAGAGAACATCTCATATGCACATGCATACTTTAATTCAAAAAGGAACCAAATAAGATTGCATATTCACCAAGATCATTCTTACGTTGATTAGTGGACGCCCCACACATCCTCTCACCAGGATACACAAGGTGGGGAAGAAAGTGCCCAGAAGTGGGGTGTTTATCGACTGCACGTCTAATATCAACCCAAAAGCTCAATGCCGGCCCTCTCAAGGGGCTCAACCATCAGGGCCACAAAGCAAGTGCGGAGTCCCAGAGTCAGCACCGCTGTCAGCTACCCCATCCGACAAATGTCCACTCTTGCCCACTCTTGATATGATGTGACAGCGTGGGCCAGAAAAGTCACTCCTTTGGTCCACAGTACAGCTGATGACGTCTTTGGTGAGGAGCCCAGATAAACACACACACACACTCAGACTGCACTCAAACACCGGCTTCCCTGAATCCTAATAAGGATGTTTTTTTCCCTTATCAGAAGACATCATCTTCAGAGAATCTGGTTTTGTTTGGAAGCCTTGTCTGTCGCCCATGCCATTACTAAAGACACTAGAGGCAGCCCCACACTGAGAAAGGCCACAGCAAAGTCACGGACGCACGGAGGTCGCTGGGGCATCTCTGGCTGTTAGAAACCAACAGTGGTTAACGTAAGCAGGAATGGAGATTGCTGGGGGCATGGTAGGAAGCTCCCAGAAGGGGCCAAGGCAGGGACACGGGACAGGTGCAGGGGGAGCCCCAAGAGCCCTATCACCCAGCCCACAAAAACCACGGACCTGTGCCCCTGGAGGACCAGACAAATCCCGACAGCACTTCCCGCCACACCACCCCGCCTCAGTGGCTGTGCCCAGCATCACACCCCTCCTCCCAGAGAGGGCCTGGCCCCCCGCATCTCCAGTCTGCCCACCAAAGTCAGGTGCTGTCGACAGGGGGCGGACGCCAGTCGCCCGCTCCCCGCTGCGCATGCGTTGGAGGGGGCATCTGGAGCCTGCGCAGCCCTGCGGGGGGGTGGGAGGTCCCACACCGCCCCCGCTCCCCACCCCCCAACCCCCCTGGTGAGATGCGTTCTCCAGCCCCACGTCCCCCTCCCCTCTTTTGGATTTTGCATTCTGCACTCTGGCTTTGGTCCCCAGGCACGGTGGCTCTCCTCCTTTGGTGGCCTCCTCTCCCTCCCCGAGTCCGCTCCCTCTTGGCTACTCCCAACCCAGAGTTGCCGCAACGTAAGTCTTAGTCAGCTCTGGCTGCTGTAATGAAGCCCCATGGGCAGGAGGCTTAGACACAGAAGTTTATCGCTCGCCTGTCTGGAGGCTGGAACGCCCAGGATGAAGGCATCGGCACGGCTGCCCTCTGCTGGGGCGGGGGAGGGTGCTGCCTGGTTCTCAGCCGCCCCTTGTCACCCAACCGCACATGGTGGCTCTCTGGGGTCACTCTCAGGAGGGCACTCACCCCGCTCATGAGGGCTCCACCCTCAGGACAGAAGCCAAAGCCCCTGCCTCCTCAGACCATCACCTTAGGGGCTAGGATTTCAACCTAGGAATTCTGGGTGTCAGGGGGTCCCAAATATTCAGGCCCCAGCAATGATAGTTCCGTTTCTCCCCTTCCTTCTTCCTGGTTCAGGGAGCCTTTTCCTCCCCTGCAGCTCAGGGCTGTCACCCTCCAGCTCCCAGAGCGTCATCCTTCCGTTGCCCCTGAGCAGGTCACATGGGCGCCCCGGCTGCATCCACGCGATGACAGACGCCACCTCCGCCAGCAGAAGTCAAGTCACCCATTTGAGGTTTCAACTCAGGACCCTCCCATGAGTGTCTCTGAAGACCAGACCGTTCCACCACCTTCCATATGTGAGGCCTGCTTAGCAGCAGAAGGCCATCCCGCTCCGGAGGTGACTGTCCTCAAGGACGTGTCCCCACTGCCTTCCACAGCCCACTGCTGAAGAAGCTCTCCAAGGCTGCGGTGACTTTCTCCTCCTCCAGAAGACTGTCCCTGCACACTCAGATGGCAGAAGCCCAGGGAGGGGTCACGGAGGTGCTTATGCTGTCTTTACCTGTGGAATTCCCTTCTGTCCCTCTGCGCCCCCCAAACTGGAACTTCTCCTTCCTCAGTTCTTCCGTTCCCTTCCTGCCACAACGTGCCTGCTTGACGTAGGCTTTGCCTCGATTCCCATGACCCTCAGTGAAATTTGGTTCAACACGCATTTCCCACATCGCCACCCGCAGGGCTGGGGCACCACCATGCCCGCTCAGCTCAACAGAAACACACGCTATCCCAGCTGGGAGCTCCCTGTCTCCCAGGAATCACATTTACAACTTTTTGTTTTTTAATTAATACAGTGTTTACACATAAAGTAGTGTAT